GCCGCACCATGTTGGCATCTTCCCTGCTCCACCGCGGATCCAGCGGACGTACACAATTGCTGGCGACGGAAGCAAGGAGATCCTCAGCATCACCCATCGCTTCATGTACGAAAGTAAAAACGATGTCGAGGCGGCCGCCAATCCTCGAGTCGATATCTGGACACACGAACAGCTGACGACCGGAGCTCCTTCTTTCACGCTCGACGTGCAAATTCCGAAGTGGTAATCGCCGACTCTGCCACTTCGGAAGTTAGGCAAGCTGCGCAGGACACTTTGCCAAACCTCAAAGTCTGAGAACGTATTCCGCTTCGATACTTTCAGTGCGATGAGGTACGCATCAAGCCGCTGGCGGCACGCCAATAGATTGCCGCAAACCATTACAGTTATTCCACTTGCGACCTTTGAATGCTCGTTCTAATGGGTTGCTGTCAGATTTCCAAGATTCTTTCGGAAATCCACGCAACGATGTCCGCGACGCGTCGTAAACCTAGATACATTCAGGGGAAGCGGGGCCAACCTGAGATCAATCACAGGGGTTTCGCGCTAGACACACGAGCCTAAGCCGATTCCATCGTACACCTACATTTCATGACTGAGGGAGAGATTAGTAATGTCTGGTTTCATTCAATTTCCGAACATCCCAGGTGAAAGCAACGATACCGATCACAAGGATTGGATTAACCTCCTGTCCATCAGCGAAAGCATCACGCGTGCCGCTTCGCAGGGTTCGTCCGGTTCGTCGCGACACGTCCAAAGTGCTATCTTCGGCGACATTGTCTGCGTGAAGGAAATGGACAAGTCGACTCCAAAGCTGATCGAATCGGTCGCCGCTGGTACCGTGCACAGCAAAGTCAAAATCGATATGGTCATGTCCCTCGGCGATAAGGGCAAACGCCTTCCGTTCTTCCAGTTCGAGCTGGATAACGTGATCGTCACCTCGTACAGCTTCAGCGCGAATGTCGAAGGGGACGGCGTTGTGCCGACCGAATCGTTCTCGCTGAACGCCGAAATGATCAAGTGGACCTACACCCAGTACGGCAAAGACGGCTCGAACAAGGGCAAAGTCGAAGCCAAGTGGGATGTCGAAGCCGGCAAGAACGGCTAAAACGCTCCGATCGAATGGACGCAGGGGAGCTCTATCCGTCTCCCCTGCGTTTTTGCGTTCAATAACCAGCGAACGCCGAACCAACCGCAACGCACCGGGCATGTTGGTTTTTCGTCAGCCTTTCCATCTTGGACGTTCCACCGACCATGAACAAAGCTCAAGAGAATCGTGCGTACACCCTGGAAGACCAACTGGGGGAAGATTTCTATCTCTTGTCGTTCACCGGCAGCGAAGGAATCTCCAAGCTCTTTAGCTATCAGCTGCACCTCGCATCACGACGCGACGACATGCAGCACAAGCCAGAGGAAATCTTGAACAAGGAGGCCAAGCTTCGTTTCTACGTCGGCGATTCAGACACTCGCTACGTCAAAGGTTACATCAATCGTTTTTCGTCCGACTACCAGCCAGGCGTGCTGGCCGGCTTCCATGCCG